ATGTTTGTTCACTTTGTTCATGATATACTTATATGAAATTCTTATGTGCTGATCCCTTTGTTAAACACTGGTACCATGATGGTACTTGTATTTTGGCACACCGTCCGGTACCAGTCTCAAGGTCATATTTACTGATTTGAGAGACAACATCATTTAGATTTTATTGTCTCCTTGACAAGCAGTTGTATTAAATTAGGTCTTCCATTATATGTTGATTGAACATGTTCTATGAATATATATTGAGTGATTGAAAGCAAGCAGGCTGTGGTTACATTCAAACTAGAACATGTATAGTACACAAACTTAAATTCATTCTTTAAATCAGATGCATTAATTAATTACTTAACGATCATGCCATGATAGTTGTATGTGCATTGAAAATGAATGGAATGCATTTTGAATAGATACTTCTGTTGTCTTTTATTGAAATAACTTGGACACTTCTGAGTTTAGAATGGGTCTTGTCAAAAACAGTGATGTTGAATTACATTAATTGGTATTAATATGATGTGCAACACATCTACCATTTCACATCCAGAAGTATCTCAGAAATATCTATAAAATATATAGATAAAATATAGAGTTTTTCTCTTATGGCTGAAATGTGCTTTTCTGATCTTGTTTTTTTTTCAAGGTGGAACTTGATGTCAGAGATCTATGATCATGTAGAAACCTGTTACTGTGAATCTAGAGAGCACAATAATATGAAATTATAAGAAATGTATGGTTTTTTTTTTCTTTTCTTATTTTTAAAATACTTTTTGTCATCCATTTTCACACCAGACATTCACCAATATCGTTCTACTTTTCCAGTCTGGCCCATCTGAGCAGTGTCTTGCTTCACTGACAAGACCGGACAAGATGCACAAGTGTTATGATTTGTGGGATATTATTTGGGTCACAGTAAAACAGTTCCTTACACCTATGAGTTTCTTGTGATTTATGAAAAGCTCCAGATATACCAATATTTCACAAGCATTTTGCAGTAATAAAATATAAATGTTAATCTTTTTCATAATTTACGGTTTACTAATTACATTTACATTTTAATAAGAAACAAATTGGTGTCAATGAATAACCCTTTAATGAGTGACTAAACCTGCCGTTTTATCCGGTGTAATCTTATATTTCACCATTAACTTTTAGTTTCGTCTGTCATGTTTAAAGGTGTTGTATGTAATTTTTTTGACTGTACTAAAGCATAAAAATACCATAATATGTTTGCAAATATTTAGGAAACATGTTAAGTTCACATTTGTTTCTTCGAAAAACAATACTACAAAATTTGAAATGTGCGTTCCCTGTTGGAATGTCTGTTTTTGTTTTGGTCTGCATGATTCCGCCCACTGCAGGTTTACCCAATAGTATTTCAACACCTGGGGTTGCCAGTTGGCAGAAAATACAGTGTATTGCAGCCATTGAAGCCAGTTTTGCCAAGTCCACGGTTTTCCCGCGGAATTGGGTTACTTTAACACTGTTGCCGCGGATGAAGCGACTCCAATAACATGATATTTATACCCTGGAATACGAATTTTAGCAGGGGAACCCCGCCAAAAAACGTGTATTTTACCCCCCGGATGCGATTTTTAACTGGGGACCCCCTCGAAACGCAATTGGGCTAGTTTTGAGTAGCGATTGGGCTGTTTTTTTTGTGAAAACCTGGAAACCCTTGAAGCCAGCAAATGAACTGGGTCAGAGATCGTAGATTCCACCCGACCTAAAAAGCCTCGGCATCCATCTAAAAATCTCTATGACCAGAGACATTGAACACGGATAAAACAACTCATCGGCTTACACTGTGAGGCTCGTTGGGTAACATTGTTAGTTGCGCTCGTTCCTTTGTGCATCTCGCAACCTGCGTGAGCGTCGAGTCTGAAGAGGGTAGGCAGAAGAAACAACGCTCTCCAATATTTTGATTTTGAACTGCAGTACCCATTTCAGCCACTAGCTGTCAATATTTATTTATTTATGCCGAGTTCACACTGCACGATTTTCAAAGACGTCGCGTCACTGTTGGTTTCACACTGAATGACTATCTGGGGCAGCATTCAGTTGCTGTGTTCACACTGCACGATGGAAGGAGACAGGAGGTTACACACTGCATGACTTTACAATAGGACGATATATATATCTATTAAAATACTGATATTCTGGTCTATAACTCCTCCCCGAACTTCCCGCTGCCCTGTATCTTGGTCTCTCATTGGCTGTAGGTCATCGCAGATGTGTTTTTCAGTCAGAACTCATTTCACACAGCGTGATTGTGAATCGCCGACAGCTCCAGATATTTAGCATGCCAAATATTTCACAGCTGTCGGCGACGCGTCGGCGATTCTCTCAGATCGTGTATTTGATAATTCACACTGTGTGATTGTCATGACTCGATTCAATTCGATATCATGATGCATCACGATTATATCAAATTTATTTTGTGTATTTTTATTAAATTATATAAGCAGGCTACTTTTCAAAATAATTACAACTTAATAATAAATCAAAACAATTGTTAAGAATTTAACCAAATAAATATAGCTTCAAAACATACAAGCAAATATAAAGTAATAAAGGGGGAAAAGGCAATTAAAAGTGACAAACAAAAAGTACTTTCAGTACGTTTCACACTAATGCACAGATCTATTTCTACATATCAGATGCTTTATACTGTTCTGAAAACATAACTGACTGTGTTTACATCAATTTCGTATCAATATATTTGGAGATGCAAGTGCATTTAACCGCAGCCACGATCGAGCTTCAGGACAAACAAACACAAAGCGTACATGAAAGTCTGTCAGTGTGTGAGTTTCGTGCATCTAATACGTACTGTATTCCAAACAGCATAAATGAAAGCGTATCTAAAGTAAAACACTGAAATAACGGCGGGTGGAAGCACACTGTCAAGCAATGCGATTCTCTCTAGCGCACATACTAAGCTTGGTTTTTCCAAAATGTGCCCAGATCTCGGATTTAAAAATAGTGGGTGCATTTTTTAATACTCGCGTGACAAGCGCGTATGTGAATGACGTCAGAAGGCTATAATCAATTACGGTCCATTACTGCATTGCGATGCATCGTAGACACGATTGATTTCAACACCCCTAGACGGCACACAGGTGCATGATGGGGTCAATAAACCATCCTGTTTTGCACTTACCTGTTGTTTCCGGCCTTGCTTTGTGACACAATGAAAGCACATCTAAAAATAAAACACTGAAATAACGGTGGGTGGAAGCACACACTGTCAAGCAAATGTGCATGTGTCTCACAGCGCATATCTCGTGCAATGAAGCTCGCAGCGATTGTCTTTAGCACACACACACGTGCCATATGTGGGGAAAAAGCCATGCTCAAAATTGATTCTGATCATGTTTTTTTTTTCCCCACACTAAGCTTGGTTTTTCCAAAATGTGCCCAGATCTCGGATTTAAAAATAGTGGGTGCATTTTTTAATACTTGAGTGACAAGCGCGTATGCAAATGACATCAGTAGGCTATAATTGATTATGGTCTATTACTGCATTGATGCAAAATCGTCCATGTCAGCATCACGATGCAACGATTAATTTCAACACCCCTACTTGCAATCAGATTGTTTCTGAGAATCCCTAACGATTCCAAAAATTATTCTTGATCAACATTTTTGTTTTATTAATGAATGAGTTTACTGATTTTGAATATCAAATATGGGCATTTTAATTTTAAAAAGTGCTTGTTATTAAAAAGTATTGAATTTAATAATACATCAAATAATACATCAAATATCAATAATGGGTCCTTTTTTAAACAATAATAGGGCCCTATAAAATGTTCTTAATTTTTATGGTAATCAGATGAAAGCATAAAACATTAATTTAATTTATAATCAAAAAAAAAGTAAACCCTTTTTTTTTTTGGCAAAAAAAGTGCTGCACAACAGAGGTTGTCTGTTAAAATTAAAAAGAAAACAGATGAGATTATTCCTTTAAAAATAAAGATTTATTAATATTTATTAGCGAAGACTAATGATAAGATTCACGTTAATCAGATCTTGTTTTAAATGTGTGCTGAAATAAATCCCGGAAAAGATCGATTCGCGGCTTTTGAGAATCGATATCGAATCGACGTCATTTAAAAAAACGATTAATCGAAAAATCTATTTTTTTTTGCCCAGCCCTAATCAATAATAATACTAAATCAAAACAATAATGTTAAGAGTTAACTAAATATATTAAAACATACAAGCTAATATTGTCAGTTTTGTTTTGTTTTGTTTCTCCAATGAAAATAGTTCCAATCAAAGCTGGAACAGAACATCTGCATGTCTCAGATCACCACTGCAGTGTTTCATTCCTGAATGAATCTTTTGAATAAATGAGTCAATGATCCATTCATAAAGTCAGTCACTTGCTTTGTTTCTAAATGAATCAGACATTTTGAATAAATCGTTTGGATAGGAATCAATGAATTACTCATTCAGAAAGGGACTTGCTGCCACCTGCTGGCAGTTTTAGTGTAATATTTATATATCCATCACAGGCCTTAAACAGCCAAGGTAACACTGGACAAGTCATGTACACCTAGGATGCTTCGAGGGTGAGTAAAACACAAGCTAATTTTCATTTTTGGGTGAACTAACCCTTTAAGAGAGATTTTGAGGGAAAAAAATACTTGGGAGGGAAAAAAAAAAAACATGTACTGTACCTGATTGCCTTATCCAAATGAATAAATACTGAATCGATTTCATTATTGGGTGAACTAACCCTTTAAGAGAGATTTTGAGGGAAAAAAATACTTGGGAGGGAAAAAAAAAAAACATGTACTGTACCTGATTGCCTTATCCAAATGAATAAATACTGAATCGAGATCTAAATTGTATCTAATCGCAATCTTGTGAAACAAATGCAAACAGAATCGCGAAATTTGTCTCAATATCTAGCACTATCAGATAACATGCAAAATGTGTTTTGATGATGCACCTCCAGGAACAGGGCTGGTAAGTACTGGTCAACACATTAACTGCACTTAGTTTGTGGTATTCCTGGCCCTACATACAAAGGGTAGCTGAAATAAGACATAAGCATTAAAAATGTTACCAATTCTGATTTAGTATCTAGGTTCTTCAGCTCGGCCTCCAGGCACAGGAGAGACTCCATATCTTTTACAGGAAGACGATGCCTGAATTGGGCCCCATCGTTTTTTAACCTTAAACCGCATAAACATTATTTTGTGTATTTGGTGTAATGAAATGTTCTTTTTTAGCAACGTCATATGACCCCTTTAAAAATGTTAACTTTAAAGTGGCACAGTTGTATAACATACTTTGAAATTGTTGGTTCCTCCTGAAAACAGATTCTGAGTCTGCTGGTTCTTTGGAGTGACTTTGGGACACGCACAATGTTGGTGAGTTATCTGAACTTGGCTGTATTGCTGACTGAAAGAGAGAAGACTGCAGAATCACTGGTGGCTGACTAGCTAGCTGATAGTGGGATGGCTGATGAGTCAGTGATGGTTGGTGAGTCAGTGGTGGATGACTAGCTGGCTCGTAGAGTGATGGCTGGTGAGTCAGTGAAGGCTGACTAGCTGGCTGATAGTGTGATGGCTGATGAGTCAGTGATGGTTGGTGAGTCAGTGATGGACGACCAGCCGGCTTGTTGAGTGAAGTTTCATCGCTTACTGGTCGGTTGGATGGTAGCTGACTAGCTGCCTGGTAAAGTGATGGTTGGTGAGTCAGTGGTGGCTGACTAGCTGGATTGTAGAATGAAGGTTTGCTGCCTTCTGGTTGGCTGGCTGGTGGCTGACTAGCTGGCTGGCAAAGGGGACTAACTGACTGAAATGTTGGCGGCTGCACATGAGGTGGTGGTTCCAGAGCTCTCAAATTTTGCCCATAATCATCATCATCATCATCATCACTATAATTAAAGACTTCAAAGTTTTGAAGCCTAAAGCTTTTCCTTTCATAGAAAAACAAAAATGGGTGCAAGTTACTACTGGCATGTACTGAAAGAGATATTTGATCATTTCAAAAATAACATACAGGAAATAAAATAAGTGTTTTAAATAGGGATGCCCCAATCAAGTTTTTTTGTGACCCCAATCCAATCTGAGTCATTGAGGTTGGCTGATTTATGGCATTTTTTAATGAATCGGCATCGATTGTGCTGCAAATTAGGCCGATTAATAGGCAGGCACATCTGTGAGCAGCTAAGCATTGTTGTAGAACACGTAATGCTGCCTCTTGCGTGCAATTCAGACGAAACTTCTGGCTAAAACGTGCACTTTAACTTTCCTCATTAAATGTGTCTGTGGGTCTGACAGCCTCTACGACGTCATTGCTCGTGGCCAGTGCACTCTTAAGCAGTTATGAGCAGCAGACGGTGACAGGTGATGCAAAATTGTCACCTTCCGGCAAAACGCGCTCTCAGATCTTCCCATTATAACAAGAAAAAAAGCATGCAAACGGTGTAAGTAAGAGATTGACTGTAGTTAGTTGTTAATATTTCAGGAGTTTTGACGTGAGAATGCTCGGTCAGTTGCGCTATAACAGGAGCGCCCTTTGCTCAGTTTCACTACATAATCCATTCACATTCTGAAGTAAAGTTTTGTTTGCCTTAGAGGACCAAACATCCACGTATACTGTTTCAGGAATGACAAACATGAGTGAATCTACTAAATTGTTCCGCTAAAAAAAACACGAGTCATTGCTATGATTGACAGTGATAACTAGCAATGGACGGAACGAACTATCTGACAAGCCGGTCAAAATAGAGCTGTGCATTAATGCAGAATAAATTCAGAGTAACAAAACTGCAGCAGCAGCAAGTCTGTGTAGGCCGAATATATAACAGCTTCTACAGTTAAAAGATAAAACTTAAAGCAATGTTTAAAACTGTAGTTTTTAAATTAAATCTCATAATATTTCAAAATATTTGTATTGTATTTGCTAACCTTTATACGCAAGTACAGTAAAAGTACAAAAATTTGTTATAATAGTCATTTTATAATAAATCCAAAACAAGACGTGAAAACTAGGAAGTGGAAATGGTAACTGAGCTAATGAGTGATCCTCTGCTGCCATCTGGTTATAATGGTCATTTCATGTCATTTTTATCTTAAAAGTCTTTGTTTTCCAACAAGATTTTTGGCAGTTTTTTTCAGGTCATCTTTATAAATGAAAAGTGAATCTTTAAAGTGAAATTTACTGCACAACTGCAGAGTTAAAAAATAAACGACCGTGTCTAAACTACTGTCTAGTAGGGATGGGTACAGAGAACCGGTATTTTTTTGGACGGTACGTAATTGGGTCAATACCGGACTACCGATAAGCTTCAGGACAAACTATACTGTTATCGATACTTGTGTTGTTTTATCTCCGTACACTTCAATGTTAATGGCTAATTAAAAGCTGCTGCCTGTCATTGTCCTTCACCAAATGATGTGGCCGACGCTTGCTCAACGTAGTACGTGTGTTATCCATGCACATGTGTGGTGTGTGTTTATGTGCAGACAATCAGTCATGGCGGCAAGGGTGGAACATTCAAAAGTGCAGGCTCATGTTACTAAACTAAGCAACACCAGTGTCAGATGCAATCAGTGTTGGGTAAGTAATCCACTACAAATTACTAATTACTTCTTTAAAATTGTAATTTGATTACATTACTGATTACTGCATTTAAAAAGTACCGTATTGACCCGAATATAAGACGACCCCCCTTTTTCCAGATGTACCTTTTGATTTCCAAGAAAAAAACATTGTCTTATATTCGGGTCAATACGGTAATCAAATTATGAATGACTTTACTTTCAAGTTTACTTTACTTTTCAAGTTATCAAACCTACAAAATACACTACAAAGTAAAACTCATAGCTCTTTCATTAATTTAATATTGACTGAAAAATTACATAAGTATTAAAACTTGAACGATCACTTGCATTTTCCTGATAACAGCGAAAAGAACTTAAAATGTTTCATAATTTTTGATTGTACGGATAAGAGTAGGTAATACATCATTTGAAACTGTAAAAGGTCAACTTTTATTTGTATACACTCGCAATACCAACAAAACTTTTTTTTTTTTGCTTTTGTATAATACAGAAAACAAATAGGGTGCGCTTTCTGCAGTCTCAGTCTCCGCGAATATCTTCCTGAAACGAGTCACTAAAATGAACAAAAACTCAGCGAATACTTGACACACAGACATGAGAAATACAGTGGGTACGGAAAGTATTCAGACCCCCTTAAATTTTTCACTCTTTGTTATATTGCAGCCATTTGCTAAAATCATTTAAGTTAATTTTTTTTCCTCATTAATGTACACACAGCACCCCATA